AGTGACCTGGCTGTGAACCGTCAGCATTATCTGTGGATTAATTACCCTGCTTCTCATCTTCGCTCTACCTGCTCTCCTCTCTGTCTCTCCTCTCTGTCTCTCTGCATCTCCCCCCACACCCTCAATTTTCCCTTTGTCCTTTGTTCCCTCTGAATTTAAATGTGTCTTTCCTTCATTCTCTCACCATGCACCTTTGATAAGACACAGTGAATTGTTAGCTATTGGTTTTAATAGAACATTTGTGGTGTGTTTCTTTTCTCTTTTTTTTAACCATGATATTCTGAGTCAACTGCAATAAAACTGGGAATGTGTTTAATCTGTCAGTGGCCATTGTCATCATCGACCCCCTGATGGGAAATTCAGAAACATGGAGCTGTGCCCATTGTTTTCACTGAGAGCATTAACCTAACACAGGACGCTCTGCGTGCCTCTGGCTTCAACACAAACACTTACTCCTGCACACACACACACACACGTGCAGCCATAAACACATGTGCATGCATCCATACATGAATGCACTGCAGGTGAACACACATCTGCATCCACACACCTCCCCCCGCTTACACGCAGGGTATCATGCCACCGTTTCTCATCTTACATACGAATGAAGGAACAGCAGTTGGGTTCCACGGTGCGCTTTGATTCCCATCTTTCCAGCATGTTAAATTTATCTGTTAATTTTATCTTTGTCCTTATGTGGCCGGCAGCATTTGTTGTAGCACGTGATGCAGCGCAGTGTGATGGAAAAGAATGAATCCCTTATCGCACCAGACCAAAAATATACTTTCGCTTTAGAAAAGGATGCCATATGAATGCTGTAATAATGTCACTGAGTTTTGTGGAGGTGATATTTCATGGCAACAAGGCTGAAATGTCCTGCCTGGGATTGATTTCTGTCAGTGTTTTATATTATCACAACGATGCAGCCTATTCAAAGGCATCTGCTGCCTATCACCACATTTTTGAACATTCAGATTCAGATTACGTACCTGTTGTCCTGATGCCTTCACACTAAACACATGATTAGACTTTAGAGTGTCTTTAACATTGAGTGAAAGCTTTTGTCGTTAAAGGGTAAATTCCCTCTGAGTGCAAGATATACTATCACCTACAGTCATGAACTCTGGGCAGTGACCAAAAAAAAGGCATTGCGGTCACAAGCAGCCGAGTTTAGTTTCCTCCATGGGGTGGCTGGGCTCAGCCTTAGAGATAGGTTGAGGCGCTCAGACATCCAGAAAGAGCTTGAAGTTGATTCGCTGCTGCTTTGCGTTGAAAGGAGCCATTTGAGGTCTTTGGGGTGTCTGATTAGGATGCCTCCTGGGCGACTTCCTTTGGCAGTTTTCTGGGCACGTGCAGAAGGGAGGAAACCTTGGGGTAGACCAGAACGCTCTACAGGGATTAAATATCTCATCTGGCCTGGGCATGTGTCAGAATACCTTGGGAGGAAGTGGATAGCACGGCTGCCTTCATGACCTGCCCCTGTGTAAGCAGAAGAAAATGGAGAGAGTTTACAGCCATGCTACCAGTTATATGAGGGTGTAGTTAGCATGCTAGCATGCTGACAGCAACATACTCACCATGGTCACTATGTTATATTAGCATATTGGCATGCTAACATTTTTATATTGCATATGCCTTTAACTGATGTTTATGGGTATAGCATTAGTTGTTCAAAAAAATTAATAATATACCAATATACTGAGCAAGTTAGATTTTTTAACCAAAGATAGATAAACAGAGTTGTCCCTTCAAAAGCTGTAAACTCAAAACCACCCAAATAAACCTCACAGTGGTGCTAGTCCAACAGTTGGAATAACCAAATTTATTTGGATTCATCACCACAGGAAAATGGATTTCTTGTAGTTGTCAAGATAACAAGCGAAAACTCGCTTGTCCTGCTGATAATTGTCAAATATTGTTCCATTACTGTCTGTATGAGATTTTACGGTAATACAAACTGTTTTTGCTGAGCCATGCCATCGCTCTGGCTAAAATGCCAGTACACCACTGTACGACAGAAGGGAATTGTCAGATTCGTTCACTGTAGGGAACCTCTTGTCAATTTTCCCATAGCCTACAGATGTTTCAGGTGCTAGTGATATGAGAGTGTTTGAGGGAATTCACAGAATAATCCAACGAGATTACCAACTAAACCCAGTTAGACGCTGAGAAAAGATCGTGTCTCTAGCCTCCAGTCTCCCTTTCGCTCCCTCTCCTTCTCTAATGCTGACGGATATCCAGCACTACGTCTTCACTCAGCCATGCACACTTGCCCTCCTATTTCCCTGCTGAGAGGTCAGCTCTGTTCTTGTCTGTTGGAAAGCTTTCACAGAAGCCACATCTTTAGCCATTCTGAGCTAACAGCAGGTAGTTTTGCTGTTGCCTCTATTTGAAGTGATTCATTTCATCCCTTGACTTTGAAGTGTCTTTTACACTGAAGAAATATTTGAACAGTGTTGTTTCAAAGGGAGACACCTGTTCTCGATAGCTCTAAAATAACGGCTAAAAACATTACCTCAGTTGCCGTGGTATAGAATTTGATTTGGGGTTGTTTCGAAATGTGTATGCATTGTGTTGTTACCCTGCAAATGACCTCTTTTTTTCATGTCTCCTGAGCAGAACTTGATCTAATATGGTATTGTTGCTTGGGTTGCTCTGCTAGTCCAGTCATAAACAGTATGTATTCCCACATTTTGGGGCTCTGAAAATGGATGATCAGCCTCAGGGAGCAGATGACCTCAAAGGTCAGCATCAGAGCATTCTTGTCCATGACTCTGGGGTTAACGCCCTGTAAGACTCTCCAAGGAGAACAAGCATAACACAGTGCAGTGGGATTTCAGTGAGTGATCCAGATCTGTCACTTGGTCATGTAGATTCCCAGGCATACAGGGAATAGTATAGCACATTCTATGGTGTTCATGAAGGGCTGATTTTCACTACATGTTTTGAAGCCAATCTGAAGGTAATAGCTTCCGAGGTTGATTAACTTTATTAGATCTTTACCCAGTGGCCTCATTCTCCGTCTCTGTAATGTCGGCTGATTAGGTGGGAACTGCAGGGCACCAAATTGCAGAAAAGGATGATGATTTATACGCTGGAGTGGTGAGAAAAGTGTTATTAGAACTTGTGCAGTGTTATTACAAAATGTCAATTACCTGCAGACACACACGGCAGGTGGAGAGGACGCCACAGACAGAAAAATCCTGAAAAAGCATCCGTGTGTCAGCGAGCCCAAACAATTTAGCGCCACAAAACCTGTGCAAGCAGACACAAACCCTGTGCGCAGGAAAACATTGTACTCCAGCGTGTGTGTTTACTGTATGCGCTGCCTCTCTGTGACTTGCACAGTGTGCATGTCTTTGTTAGAGAAGAGTGTTCATGAGTCACCACTGTCTTTAGCCCGGAGCTCAGCATCCAGCCAGCTGAAGGAGGGGATGCATGTTTTATTTTAGTCGCTCTAATATGCCGTGAAGACATCATTATCTTGAAACATGTTGTATTCCAGAGCCTCTATTGTTTAAAATGGCACAGAAGATGTGGATAACTTAAACTGTTTCATCCTCATCACCGTCATAGAGATCATTAAATGTGCAATTCAGCGTGCTTCATTAGATGTGGCTTTTGCTATTGCCAGCCTAAGCAGTGTGTGGCGGTATGAGCCCTCCTTGGTGAGCGAAGGATGTTATGTTTTCTGTCGTGCACATATACCAGCACTGCCCACAGGGAAGAGGTGAGCATGCAAGGAACTTGGCTGATTGAGGGCACAGGGCACAGAGGCGCTGTGCTCGGCTACGGTTGCCTGTGAATGCTAAGGAAGCCTCACAAGAGACCCTTTTGTCAGCGTCAGCTTCCTTTGAGAGGAGACATAAATAGCACAGAGTGTATGAGATCTTTTTTTACATTCCTGCCATATCATCAACATTTCTTATCTTGATTTTTTTTTTTTTTAAAAACCTCTGGAATACGCACCCAAAATAAAAGCACAGTGGCATTTATGTTTTTGGTAAATGATTTCATTAAGATATTTTCACTGAACTGCATCAGAAAGGCATCAAAAATGTTTCAGCAGTTTGAAGTGTCAAAAGTTTAGCCTCGACTGGATTTGTGATTATAAAATATAAAGTCTGTTCAAGATGATGAGATTTCTGGAGAAGCATCTTCAGGTCATGTTACAATGTTGGGCCAAGAAGTGTTGTAGATATATTATCAACAGTCAGACGGATCTGATTGATGATAGAAACCTCATTGGCAGTTTGAGCTGGCTCCATAAAAGTCTAAAAACACTATTTTATTCTACCATGTTTGCTCAACAATAACACAACTAAGCTCAACTCAGTAACCTCATCCTCCTGCACACAAACTGGTAGACACACACACAGACAGCAAAGGAGGAATCCCGGCTCTCCCTCCTTTAAAATGGAGCAGCCACCCAGTGCGTCAGTAACCTGATTACCCCAGCTGTCAGTCTGAATAAGGCCAGGCTTTGGGATCCTCCCGTCCTCTGATCCTCACTACGGGATAGAACCAGTCCTCCTGAAGACTCTGAAAACAACCTCAGAGCAGGACGGACACAAACACACGGGAAGGGAAAGAACCAGGGCTAAAACGGTCAGCAGGTAAGCGCATGCAGTGATGAAGACTTTCTGGCTAATAGTGATGAGTTTCTCAATTATTAGGCATCAGGTAATATCTTAAGATGAAATTCAGTGTATGTGTGAGTGTGTATCCAGGCATTCATCTTCTTGCTCCATCCAATTGTGGTTTACGCTCTCAGATTCCTCTGGGAATATTCTTTGTATGAGAACATGACATGCTTGACCTGACAACAAAACCCGACTATGTGGACAGGAGAAAGTGTAGGAGTATCAAAGAAAGGCAGCCAGCCACTAAGGGGAGGGCAACAGGATACAACTAGTGGGTGGACCGTGATGATTGTTTCTGTGCACAACAAGTCTCTCACTTACATGCTGTATTTCCCACCCAAACAGGAGAACTTTGTGTGACTTTGAGTTAGTTGCTGCGCAGAAGGATTCTCTCAAGTCTACAGTATTCATATTTCATAAATCTGTATCTTTCAGTACAACTGTTCCACAACTACAAGTTTAAAAGCTCCACAAAGGCTCTGGATCGCTCTCTGGACTGACTGACTGAACAAGTCAGAACACTGCAGGAAACTGAGGACCCTGAGCTGCACTTGGCAGCTCCAAAACAATGGCAGAGTCCACGCCAGATGCCAACCCCGCCAAGGTGATCCAGAATCCGAAGGCTGACACGAAGGACTCGAACGGAGTTTCAGCTGAGTGTGCAACAGCAGCAGCAGTGGTCAAAGTCAGACCTGCAGACCTTGGGCTGATTCGAAGCTTGTCCAAGTCGGACTCTGACTTGTTGGCGTCACCACTCGGGGAGGAGGATGGAGGTCTGGCTGGCCGCAGTGGATCTGTGTCTAACTGCAGCTCTGGGCAGCCGTCCATGGAGGGCATGCCTTCCTTTGCCTCTGAGTGGGATGAGGTAATACTCGAGCTCTGGGGATGGGAAACAAGTGGGAGGGTGTGGAGGACAGAGGGAGTGCACTGTCACTGTTAAAGCATGGACAGGCTTTCAGGTGGAGTGTGTTAATGTCCTTAAGAGAGAGTGTGTTAGCGAGTGTGAATGTGCGAGAGAAAAAAAGGCAGACGGATAAGAGAGGCAACTCAGGATTAGTGTGAAAAAAAGACTAATGGGAGCGGGCAAGGCAGCACATTTCAGGAGAGAGGAAGGAAGGAAGGGGGTGGGGGGGAGAAGAGGCAGCAGTATGAGAGTGATCGGGAGTCCAGCAGAAGCACTGATAGAGTAACTTTACCCAGGCTGTCGGCTGAGAATGCCTGCGGGCGAGTGCTTGAATGCATGAATGGCTTGATCACTTGCACCGACCTCCCTGTAGCAGCCCTGGCATCCAAGACTAATTGGGCTTGTGCTGTCATTCCACATCCACTCAGTACATGTCTCTGGGGCCGACCCACGCTTCCACTGTCTCCTCCTGCACTCTTCTGGCTCCTTTGCTCCGTCTTGCGCCATCTACTTTCAGCCCACTGTGAACAATCCCCCACCCCCCCACCCCCTCCATTATCCCCAAAAGCCTTAACTTGTGATTTCTGAGCATTTTGGAGCGTCAGTGCAGTAGCCTACCCCCTAAAGCGCTGCAAAGACCCCGAAATGAATAATCCTTTCCTACCAAAACTTAAATAGTTGGAGACAATGGAGACAATGGTTGATAACATATTATTAAATTATACAGCTTGGGGGCAAAACAGTGCCGTTTTTTAAAACATCCGCAGCTGAGTAGAACATTTCTGACACTTTGTGCCCAGTGCTTAATCCCCATCACAGTCGTAACATTTATAGGATCTTCTTCAGATTATCAGGTTAAATTTTAACACAGTGCAATATCTCACCAGACCCAACAGATATCTTGGCCAGCAATTGATTACAACAAAAATAATAAGGCCTCCCCCCCATTTTTTTTTTTTTTTTAACTTTGCACTTGAATGAATATTTGGCTGCTAGTGCAACCAAACGTCATCTTTTCTTGTATTCATGAGTTATTCAGCTTGACGCCTTCAAGCTAAGTCCAGCTGGCTTTTTTTTGAGGGGCGTTTCGTGCCCAGTGACACTGGCTGCACAAATATGTGGACAGTTTTTGTTGTTTTTTTTTCATTGTTTTCATAGTTGTACATAAATATTCTGTTTTTCAAGGTTGTAAATAATGCAACCTCAGGGCAAATCTATGCTAATACCTACAATAAAGCAAATAAGGATTGAAACACTACTTGAGTCTTAGAGTAAGGTAATACAAAGCAACTGCCGAGATGGATGCATGATACACAAAATGCAACCTTTTGTATTTTTGTAAGCTAACTGGTCTTTGCATCTGTTCAATTGGTTTATCATTGGTGGTGACAATTTTGTGCTGACTTCAGCCAGATCTGGAGGCTGGTTTAAAACACTGCAAAGCTTCCTGAGTCTGTAATGTTTGTGGGGATGGAATTCCATGGTGTCACAGCTTTAACTGAGCACTGTCGTTCTGAACCGAGGTACCTGGTCAGCTCTAGTAGATGCTCTGGTCCTACCTGCACTATCGCTGCCAATGTAGAATAGGCATCCTCCAAGAGAAAGACATTGAACAACTTTAAACATCAGACATGCATTAGAACAAAAGAGTAAATTGTCAAAATTTGGGATATTGCAATTTTTAGGATATTTCAGTGACACTAATTTCTTGGCTTTATATCTAATACACATATTCTGTATGTTTTGCTTGACTCATAACTATTTTTATGTTGCTCTGTCCTCAAATATCCTGGTGTTTCATTTCTCTAACACACTCACGGTGTTGACAAAGTGTGTGTGTGTGTGTGTGTGTGTGTGTGTGCGCGCACGCGTGTGTTTGACGTATCACTGTGTATAATTTGTATAATGTGTTTTGCCATGTCTGTCTAGTTTGCTTAGTGTCATTTTAATTGTGACTTGCCATGGGACGGCAGATTAAAATTAGCCTTAGGGTTACTCAGGTAGAATGAATCAAATGGTAACATGTATGTTTAATGTTGTACATGCTCCCTTACAAATCCAATACATAAATAAAAAAGAGAATGGATCTTTCCTTTCCCTCCAATGACAAACAAACCACCAAAAAATCTTGACTACTTCTTCAAAGTTTAAAAGCCTTTATAGTTCTGGATACCTGATTAAAAAGCAGTGCACAGCATGTTGACGGGGCTCAATAATAAAGGCATGTTGACATTTTATACACTTTATACATAACAAGGTGCTTTGCTTCTCAATCCTCTTCCTTCCCGGTTTGGACGCCTGGAATCTTTCTGTTACCCTTTTTCCAAGAAGAACCAGGTGCTAGTTCTGTGCTGGTGCTACGGCCAGTGCTTAGTTGGTTCCAATCAGGCACCTCCCAGGAACCGGTTGCTTTTCCATCTGAGGTTAATTGGTGATTCTAAATTGTCCGTAGGTGTGAATGTGAGTGTGCTTGGTTGTCTGTCTCTAAGTGTAGCCCTGTGATAGACTGGTGACCTGTCCAGGGTGTCTCCTGCCTTCGCCTTGAGACGGCTGGGATAGACTCCAGTCCCCCATGACCCTAGTGAGAATTAAGCAGCATATAGATAATGGATGAATGGATGGAACTTGTTTCTATGCAAGTAATAAAAAAAAAGAAATTCTATCCAGCTTCTCTCTCACTAGAACTGACAGTACGATGACATTATTAAGGCATATCTGTCACGATCTTGACTGTTTGGACTTGACTCAATCTCAGAATTTTGGCTTAGTTCAGACTAAATGTATGTAATCTGACCGTAGCCCTGCGCAGCGTGTGGTCACATAAAAAAAGCCTATACAGTATGTCATGAGCATGCTCACTTACAACAGGGCATCAATGTGTCACCTCAGAAAACTTAGACATCTTGAACTTGTTCTTGGGATTTGCATAGCGCTCTGTTTGTCACCTCTCCGTGCCCTGTGCCTGCTCTCTGCTCCACCCTTTGCTCTCTGACAGGGCTGTTTATTCAGGCCATGTTGGGTGGGGTGTCCTGTTCTCAAGGGCATCCTGTTTTGCAGCTGTTCCCGAGTGTCTGTTTCTCTTCCACATTTCAAGGGATTTGTTTGGGTTGGGGATGTGGGTGTGGGTGTATGAGCGAAGGCAAAAACTGACTCGACTTGTGTGCATCCAGTGGCCCCAAAGTATATCTTGGACCCTTGAGCCACACTTGAAAATGTATGTAACTTCTTTGCATTAGAAAACAAAATGTCAAAGCAAAACCGAATCTAAGAGGCTTCCTCTGAACTTAGGAAACAGGAAATGTTTCACTTCTGAGGAAGCTGCTTGGATGAGTAGTGAAATGTTTTCAAGAACCAAAATGAGAATTCCAGTTGCCTTCAAATGAAGCCCTGAGGAATGCCATGACCCAGATGACTGACAAACAATGCAGATGTCAAAGCATATGGAAGTTATATTAAAGAAAGGCAACATTACCACCTGGAAAAATACAAAAATGATAGGTTTCAAAATAAACACTATTTGGACACCAGGGGTGGACTGGGATAATAATTCAAACCAGGAATTTCACTCTCAACTGTGTCCTTCATTGTACACATTCAGTGAACATGATGTGCAACAACAATCCAAGCATAATACAAAAGTTTATTCATTCGTCTCCATTAATCAAACAGCACCCAAGTGGAAAAATGAGAATAAAATGGAACTTACGTAAGTTAGTCTAATACGAAGGTAATTATCATTTAACAGGAACAACACTTTTCCATTGAAAATGCTACCCTAGCTAACTAGCCAGGTAGCAACCTGGCAGTGGTAGCCTACATATAGTGTATTATGTGGATAGACAGCACAACTGCACTTTAGACTAACCCGATCCCTCACTGGCAAACATGCTAGTTATTTTAAAGGCCCCCATTTCTTTTTTCATCGTCTCCCTATCTGTCATCAGTAGCCTACTGCCAAAGTCCCTTAAAACGGACAGCTAGAAATACCCTCAGGCCACCAGGAAATGCCCCATTGCTTCCGACGTCTGTTGAACATCTAATTGTAGCTTCACTAAAGGGCACTTGTACAGTTCTTTAACATTGAGTTTGCTGTCTTCTTGTTTCCATAGCTACCTGATGACATCAGGACATGATATCAACTGCCTTCTGTGAAAGCGTTGGTCTAAGGTTTTCTTGATGCAAAGCTTTTAGTTTGTCAGACTGGACCATTGTTTCTCCATAGCACCCTATAGATGCTCAGTACAATTTAGGTCTTGGCTCTGGGAGGGTCGGCCACGCTTTGGCTTATCGTCCTGCTGAAAAAGCCTGTTCTATTGCCAGATTATTTATGACTTCGTATAAGTTGTACTTGGATTTCTTGTACACCTTGAAGTTCATGATTTCATCAGTAAATACAAGATGACTTTCACCACTTTAAGAATAACTGTCCTGGACTGCAGCCATCTGGTTGTTTCACTGTACTCTTGGTGCAGGCTGATTTGAATTCTTCCTTTGGCTTTCTGCACACCAACTTTCTGCCATTAGATCTGTATAGGCTGATGTTCTGAAAGCAACATGCTTCCGAAAACTTCTGTCTTTCTTCCATTCTTTTGCTAATTTAATCCAAGCTGTTTTATTCTTAAAGCCCAATAGGTTCTGTCATATCACTCCCTCTGTATGGATACTGCTCTTTTGAGTTACATCTTGCAATTCTCATCAATCTTGGCTTCTTTTTCTTACCTATTTGTCTTAGTTTCACAGCATCCTACATCCTACCGTGGAGAACGGAGGATTGAGGTTTTGTTCCTTTAATGAATTGAATGGCAATGCTTGACCTTTTGTCTGAACTCATTTCACCTGTCTTTGCCATTTTAGCAGCTGCTTTCAACTCGCCAGTTCCAAGATGTATAAAATCAGTTAGCCATATGTTCACATAGCATTTTATGAAATACTCTCAAAAACCCCAGTCTCGTTTTATGCTT